GGGGGGGGGCTCAGCACCTCTTAGATCAATTTTAGATACATTCCTGCCCAAATTTTTACTGAAAAATTCGTTAATCAAAGACACACAAAGGCGTAAATTTGCCGTTTCCAAGAACAATACAGCTTTGGAAGTCACTGAACTTTGACGGCCATTTTCTCGCTAACACCAGGCGACCCCCACCTCCTTGAATCACAAATAACAAATATCTCCACTTCTAGTCAAGATAGGTGAGGATTCTTTTCACCAAAAAAGCACGGCAATTGAACATGCTTTAAGGTTATACAAATAACTCCGCAATATGTCCAAAAAGTGACAAGCGCCTGATTCCACCGCGTCGTGACACAATTGTTCACCAGTGTATCAGATTTTGCATCCGATTAGATCATCCACCACCATAACAGATCCCACTAGCGAGGACAAACACGCACCCCACTTGACACAACTGATATGATTTCGATTACGATCCAAAAATCCATACAACTGATACCCCTGGAAATAATTATATCTGTAATAAACACATCGTGAAAACGATATCTTTGATGAACACACGAGTTTGAGTTTGACTAATTTTCATAATTAACTATAATATGAAACTGAGATGTGGGGATGAAGACTCCACGAATTATGAATTTTATTTGCGCACAATTCTTGGCTGATACCATGTGGATTCGCCAACTCAGCGTATCGGGAAGAGAAGCATTGTAAGATGGGCTGTACTCCGGTTTCTCTCGTTGGCTGCACCAGCGAAGACCTGACTTTGACGTCATCGCCAAGTGTTATACCATACAGCTAGATCTGTAAGAGGTAGGTTGTATTTCACCTCGATTTTAGATTATAATTAAAAGCCTAGAGCTCTGTCGAACCACCATGAAGTTGATTTCTTTCCATGTTTTTTTTTATCCAGCTAATTCCAAACACAAATTTTCTACACACAAACAGCATTATGTGTTATGGCCCCACTCTGAAGCACCTGGAGCAGAAAAAGACTAAGTAAATGTGAGGACAGCAATTAAAAATACAATATATCAATATCAGGAGACTCTGCCGGTGTATCCAGGCAAATCAAAGGAGCAAGAAAGATAGACAATTCTCACTGCTTACATTCGTAAGGAGCGAACACAAGAAAATTGAAAATGAAAATAATGTGTTTTAAAATGCTGCCAGCGCAGTCCCAAGTCTATCGAGAGTATGTTTTACTTCTTCAGAACTTAGTCGGCAAGATTTGCAAAAACATGACAAAAACGTTGAGCATGATCAAGGTTAACTCCTCTTTTTAACTAAGCAACTTGAAAAAAAAGTGGAATTTTAACAAAAATACCGGTGGCTCCACCTAAGAATTTGCGCGCATGCGGACTTTTTTTATTTTTTTTATTTTTCTTTTTTGGGGGTTTTGGTGTGTCGTTTTTGTTTTTTTTTTGGTTCTTTTTTTGGGTTTTTTTTTGGGGGGGGGTTTGTATTATTGTATTGTTTTGTTTTTTGCTTTGTGAAGTGAATGATCTTGTTCTGTAAGATCTTAACTGGATCAGTACAATGTACCATGAAGACGCCGAGATATTCGTTCAGCGCAGTCGCTGTTCCCTGGCCTTTCATTCTCGTAAGTGCGTGAGGCCATCAATGTGACCGTGTGAGCTTTGAAAAGGTTTCGGAGAGGAAGAATGTATTTTAAAGACTTTACAAATCAACTTCATAGTGAGTCGACAGAGCTCTAGTTATTATCCATTCTAAAATCGAGCTGAAATTACAGCCTCACTTGTTTAGGTTGGCGGCTATAATAGTGAGGAAGGAAGGAAAGTAGGGAGGAAGGAAGGAAGGAAGGAAGGAAGGAAGGAAGGAAGGAAGGAAGGAAGGAAGG